TAGAAAAATTATATTATGTAAAAAAATTATTTAATTCCATATAAAAAATAAAGATGATCTTTATATCTTTTTGGCATATACATCTAAAGAAAAAACAATGTGATCAAAATACGTTCTTCCAAAACAACCTTTTCATCTAAAATAATTTTTCCGTATTTTTTAAGTATTTTTAAAAATACTTGTCTGGAATAATTATAATGCAATACTCTTTGTAATATACATAATTGTGTACACGTGTATTTATATGTGTGTGTGTGTGTTTTTATAAAAATAATTCTATAATATTATACTTAAGACATCGTCATTGATATATTTATCCTAATATCTAACCTTAGCGCTTAAGTATTCTCCAGCAAAACAAAATATGAACGCCTCCATATTCATAACGAGGTAAAATAAGAGGGTCCTAGTTATATTTTTCAAAACATCAGGTCCACCGATTGACTAAAATATTAAGGAATATTCTATGAGTAACGGAAAGGTAACAAAACGCTCAATAATTAAAAGAAATAATGCTCCTTTATTCTGCAAATTCAACAGCGATTCCTATAGTCTATATTTTTTTTTATTGTGGAATTAAACAAAATTCTAATACTTACTGCGACGATTGTAAAACCCAAGCAGCAGATAATCAGAGTATCCGATACAAAGAGCACCATCGCAATATACGAATACAAATCTTCGATGTGCTTTGAAAAGATGACAATATACTGATGTTTTTTGATTACTTTCTTTATCATAAAATGACTCAAGTTGCCCTTCTCTTTCTTCGAAAAAATTGCCATTAAATTCTGACGAAGAATATCGATTTGACCGCCTATATGCAATATCTAAAATATACATTTTTCAGAACTAACATGCAAATGCAAGTTGCAAAAAAGTATTGTAATTTCTAAATTTAATTGATACAGTACAAAATGATTTAAAATTTAAAAAGCAGCATAAGTTAGAATAGTCTATAAATTATTTTTTATAATATAGACAAAAATTAAATATTCTATTAATAAGTTGAAATTAATTGATAGATCAAAACAGTAAAATTTTTTAAAAATTAAAAAACGTTTTTTATTTTTTTCAAAAAATTAATACCTAAAAAATACGCCTTCTAAAAAGTTTCTATGAAATTTGAAGTATTTCTCGTTATGTGAATTGTAACGAACGAGCACATAGTGCTATAATAGAGTCGCATCTGATTTAAGAAAGAAGTTGTGCACATATAATAGATAGATATATAGATAAATAGATTGATAGAAGGAAATAGATAGATAGATAAATAGATAGATTTCTATTAAATAATCGATACCAAAACTTTAAATGCGTTTTTTTTTTAACTGCTTTTTTTCAACTGGCGGCATCTATAACTTGAACAATTTTCAACCGATCGGCCTCAGCATTGAACAGTAGCTTTACAAAATAAATAGTTTCAGTTAAGCGGATTTTTTAAATTAATTTTAATAAGTTTTTGAAGGGCGAGCTGTTTAAGAGACTCTTAAACATAATAAAATTAAAATTTTTTTAAACTGCTGCCATTTTGTAAAAAAGAATTATTTAAAAAAATTATTACGTTTAACTGAAACTATACTCATGCAGAATCAAAATTTTTTAAGAAATTTTCTTATCAAATCATTACAACTTCTTTATGTCGCTGATGGATTATGTTTTTTAAACATGGAAGGCTATAATGTTGTGCAACATTGCCATATATTTATATTTAGACATATAAAAATTCTTAAAATATTTTCAATGTATACCCATTTGATATACCATTTATATTCATTTTAAGACTTATAGTTACCATTAAAAAAATTGATAAAAAAGACCTTTTTTCAAATCTTTACTTTATTTTACTCACTTAATGGAATATTAAAAAAAAAATTAATTTTTATTAATAATGGAAATAATCTATAAAAACTATAATACTTACGCAACAGAAACTTACCAGATTTATGAGTAAGGCATTTAATAAACCGATTGCATCGGAACATAACAGCAAATAAAAAAATTGAACAATTATGACCGATTCATACACGAATCTTTTATTAGTGTCAAATGGCAGATCCATCTCTAAAACGAGCAATCGTGTGGAAATATTGGAAACATTGCCATCATCCACGTGTTTCGTAAGAATGTGAGTGCTATAGAAAATTACAGCTGTCGAATAAAGAATCACCGTCATGTTAGCAAAGCGCTCCGACAGTTTGGCATTATACGATGTCACGAACATACTGAATTTCTTCCCAGAACACTTTTCCCAGTCGATTGCCATCATTGTTAATAAGCTGTTGAATGTTCTACATAATTTTATATTTAGTTATAATCATGATAACAGCCACAATGGAATATTATGCAAACCATCGATGAAAAATTTATTGTTATGCAATAACTTTACAAATGAGTGGTTACATATTTTATTTTTGGGCATAAGAATTTATTCATTATAACAATTTGTCTTGTTCATGTTCACAATTGTCGAATAATTAACTTTACCGATCAAAATGGTAATTGTTAAATTGAGATGTAATACAAAATTTATTTAATTACATTAATTTGGATCCATTAATGTTATTAAATAATATTTAAAACAAAATTTTTCACTGATAGTGCGTATATTATGTGTCTCACCAATACGCATCTCACCGCTGTTTATACCAAAAAATGATGAGTTTAATTAAAAATATCGTATACGACATTACAGAACTTAAAATGGTTACTATCTCTCTAAACTCCATTAGATGGAAATTCTTTACGATATACCGATATTGAGCAACTTGTTCGAATACGATTGAAATAGTCCAGAACAGTCTACGTAACAAAACGAACGACGTGTTCGGCCAAATGCCAAAGATACGAAGTAAAATTTCTGTAGTTGAGCTAACAGTATTCTCTATTTTCATATTTATATTATTATTACTTTCTTATTATTACTTTCTTATTATTTTGCACTGTTAATGTGCATCAAATCCGGTAAGAAAATAAAAAAACAGAAGGAGTTATGAAAAACACTTGATCAATCATACGATGTACACGATGTAGTGTCTTTGTACAAACTGAGCTTAAAAGAGAGCGAGAGTGGAGGGCATTCTCCTACGAACTACGACTTATTAAATATTTTGATCGCAACGTGTACAGATTGCGTGTATATTGTCGATAAAAAAAAAGAAATTTCCGGATGGTCGAATCCCTTTCAAATTCTTGAGCAAAACGGTGGTGTAGCTCGCAATGCATCATTTTCTTTAAAAATTCAAGCAACAACAGATAGCAACACGCGAACGTTCACAGGACATTATACTGTGCTCAGTAACAGTAAGAAAAGTTTTGTACATCCATGAATAGGGGAGACTTTTCCTGGGAAGAGAGATGGTAGAGAAAGCGAAAGCTTTTCTTTTTCCGAGATTTTATTTCCTCTATATCAAAAGATATTCTTCCTCGCGCATTATGTAAGTGCGGCTAGTGTGCACGCGTTCGCAATTCATTCTCCTGAAATATGTAAATCGCACAATTTTGGAGGAAGCTCTGGTGTACGTCAGATACAGGTTTCGCGCAATGATCGTGAATAAGTAAATCAGAAATAGGAGATGGAGAACGAAGTGCTGAGTGAAGTTTTATATTTCAGTAGTAACGGCGTTCTTGACAAAGCATAGTACTTATAAGCTATAAGCAGTATCGTAAAATGCAAAGAGCTTATGTTAATCTTTAATAAAAGATTGTTTTGATTATTTTGACATTATAATATTGTTTCAACGTTATATGTGAGGTAATATGTATTTATGCAGGGAGAGCATTAGTTATGTTTATCCACACTTTGAGCGTGAAAGAAAAATTAATTGATTTAATTATATTTAAAGCAAATGGAATATTATTTATAATACCATAATAAATATCAACAATAATATTTTCTTTAATACCATTACTGCTGATTTTTTTTCTTACATATGTTATAATTTTATATTATTAGAGGAAAGTAGAAGAATTGCGAACACATGATAAACATAAATATAGCTATTGTACTATATGAGATAACTTTTCGTTTCTCCAATGTACTATAGCGTTGTACTATACACCCAGAGATAGGTTTCTTCAATTAAAAAAAATGTTTCTTTGCTATACTGTTAAAGAAAAAATTTCTATAATTTGAACGTTATTTCTTTAATTTAAACATTACTTTTTAAAATCAAATAAAAAAAATTCATTTGATTTTAAGAAATTATGTTCAAAAATGACGTACAAATAAAAAAATTTTTTCTTTAACCGTATAGCAAAAAAACATTTCTTTAAATTGAAGAAACCTTCTGTGGATGTAAATCATTATCACAGAATGTACACACTTTTTATTAAAAAAAAGTAAATATTGCACATTTTCAACAACTTTGCTATACTGAAGAATAGCAAATTACAAATTTTTAAGAAAAAAGATTAGATTAAACTAATAATTATTTTTTTATTTTTAGAAATCTTTTGTTACTCGATTATAACTATAGCTCTACAATTACAAAGTTGTAAAAAGAAACAGAAAGTAAGGTATTTTCAACTTCTTGTCTCTTTTTTTTCCTTTTCTCTTTATTTCATGACAGGATAATATGACAACAGTAAATTGAAAGATTTAAAAATGCATAACGCTGTATGTGTAGCAATACACAATATTTAAATGAAGTACCGCTCGAAAAAAAAAAAAACATTATCGGGAATCATAAAATAAGAACAATGTTATGTGTAAGAGAGAAAAGAATAGGATTGTATTGTTTAATCTCATTTAATAAACATTTCGTATCTTGGGTTATCAATCTATACTTGACAGTCTAAATTTCTTATTCTCTACTAATATATATATGCATATACGCATGCAAGTGTAACAGATAAAAGAAAATGGTAAGTAATATTTCAACGGTTTTTGTTAATATTAATTTATGTGCAAATTTTCTAATAATTAAACAATATCTATTTTCTAATAATTAAACAATAACTAACATTAATTAGAAATTCAATGTAAATATAATATAGCTTCAACACATTGCAAGTAAGACGGATATATAGGATCCTGAAGTTTTAATAATCTGCAAAAACATTATTCGATTACTATAAAATATCAACGTAAGTAAAAATTAAATATTTAAATTTAAATTAAATATTTAAATTAAATATTAATGTAAAAAAAGATTTGTTTAGCATTTGATTTATTTTAATAATATATAACGATGTAATGTTAATAAATGTTATTTCTTAAGAATCAATATAAAAAAAATTAATTAGTATAAAAAAATATAGGACAAAAATAAAGCAAGATTAGTCAAAGTAAAATGTTACATGCAAACATCTTAATAACCGAAAAGCGCATGTGTCTACATGATTGTGTAAGACAGCGTCGACACAGATGGAGATTACTGTGTTAAATACACTAATCCGTACCCGACTGCCACATATGTACGCTATTTCCGTATATTAAAAATAAAATTATTTTGATTGTTGCTTTTGGTCTACGTGATAAATAAAATAATTAATAAAAATCAGATGTTTTTTTATAATAAGTCATAAATATATTTCTTGATTTTAATCTTTGTATTACTATTTCAATTATGGTTTCTTGGTTATAAAAAATATTTTATTCATAATATTTCATCGTTATGTAATGAATTAAGCCAATTATCCCAATAATTAAATCTCAACGCTCAAATACAATTTGCTTCTATTGACGTTTTTCATTACACTTTAATGTGATTACGGTTATATTTTATGTATAAATTTTATTATAAAAAGTTAAATTTTATTTTAATAGTTGTTAATTAAAACGTTCAGAGAATGGATATTATCAAATCATTACAAATAAGAGATAAAAACTGTAATATCAAAAACTTGATTAATACACTTAATATAGATCTGATAAACACATATAATTCTATAATTTTATAATGTACCATAAATTTGTTAGATAATTAATTTCACTTAAAATTCCAACTGGAAATGATTACGTAATACAAAAAAAAATTTAATTAATTGAAATAAACTATATAATATGTAGCTTATTTGAATTAATTAAATCATAATTTTTTGTGTTAAGTACTCATTTAATTTTAAGATAAAGAGTTTTTTATTGCCAAATTGAGGCATTTGATTTGAAAATGTCAAAACCACAAAGCGATACACTTTAAAACTTGTAAAAAAAATTTGCTAGCTATAAAAACGTTTTATAATTCAGTTAAATGCAACTTTTAAAAGCCCTGTAAGAGATTCCAGGAAAATATCAACTGGATCTTGTTCTGGATGAACGGACCTACAATTTGAAAAGAGTAGCAATCCATTTGAACACTTGAAACCTTGCTAAAATCGACCTTGAACTCGAGGCCTTACGTTTAATTGCGTTTGTAAGTCCGGAAAAAATTTCGCGCACAATTTGAATAACTAAAAAATATAGTATATATGCATATACATATATATATAAATATATATAATAACTTTTAATTATTTATGCATTGAAAGATCTAGCTTCGACCGTTATGGGTTTAAATATGCTTATGTTAGTTAAATATGCTATTGTTAGTGTTTAATTTCATTACGGTCTTAATAAAATTATTTATTATTGTAATTGATAATATTATTTTACTATATTTTAAAAAGAGCAAGCACACTTTATATTTATAGATAATTATGGAAATAATCATTTGTGCAAAATCTATGCCAAAAAGCTGTACGTATAAAGTAAATATGAAATAGACTTACACTAGTAAATCGTTCCAAGGACAAATTTATTATCTTTCCAACTGTAATTGTTAACTGATTTTGCGACCTCATTATCAAAAACAATATAATTCGATTGGTTCTAGAATCTGATTCGTACCAGAGGGAAGCGTAGGCAGCATCTCCTATGCTTTTACTCTATTAAATAATTATTCATGTAACATTTATATGTGTAGATTATTAATTGGCAAATATTTTGAAAAATATGTATGATGCGAAAATATATTTTATATGAAAGTGAAACGATTTCGTGGGAGATGTTTATTTTAGTCACGTTTGTGTTTTTTTATAAAGGCAAAAAAATATAAATATTATTCTACTTTTCTAAATAAAATTACGAGTATATAATTTTTTATTTTTTTATAATATAATTCCTTTTATTATTTTGTATATAACAATATTAAGTTAATATAAAAAAAAACTATTAGGTTATAAGATATTTTATACCATATTTCGGCATACATTATCATAAAATATTAAATGTTTTATATACTACTTTTTAATAACCACAAATTAATACTTTTATAAACAAAATAATTAGAAAATATTTTGTAGAGAAATAATAAAAAGTGGGTGACCTTTACATCTTTTTGAATTACTCTATAAAAAACAACGTAAACCAAATTTGAAAATATCCTCTCAAAATAATTGCACTTTTATCTGAAACATTTTTTACGTACCATACGCATTTTTTAAGATATTTATTTGGGATAATTGAAATGGGATTCTGTATATGTACGAGTATATGGCTGTGTGTGTGTGTAAATGTATGTATATACAAATAATTATAATAATATTATAATTTCGTGATTAATATAATCATTTTGATGTCTAACCTTAGCGCTCAAGTATTCTCCAGCAAAGCAAAATATGAATGCTTCCATATTTATGGAAAAGTAATAAAAGAGGACCCTAATTATATTTTTTAAAACGTCGGGTCGACTGATTGACTGGAATATTAAAGAATATTCTAAGAGTAATGTAACAAAATGCTGAATAATTAAAAGCACGAAATAGTTTTCCTTTATTCTACAAATTTAACAGCGATTCCTATAGTGTACATTGCTCTTCATCGTTGATTTAAACAAAATTATAATACTTACTGTGACAATTGTAAAACCTAAGCAGCAGATAATTAGAATATCCGATACAAAGAGCACCATCGCGATATACGAATACAAATGTTCGATGTGCTCTGAGAAGCTAATGATTCTCTGATGTTCTTTTATTACTTCTTTTGCCATGAAATGATTCGAGTTGTCCTTGTCTTTCTTCGAAACAATTCCCATCAAATTCTCACGCAGAATATCGATTTGACCGCCTATATGCAATATCTAAAATGTATACATTCTTCTGAACTACTGTGCTAATGGATGTTGAGAAAAAATATTTTAATACACAAATTTAATTAATGCCGTACCAAATATTTTAAAATTCAAAAAGCAGCATATGACAAAGTGACCTATATGTTATTTTTTATAATATGAACAATAATCATTTTATCAATAAATTGATATTAATTGATTACAGATTAAAATATCAAGAAATTAATATTATGAATAAAAAAAATAATACATAGAGACAATATCTACTTACATAATAGAACTTACCAGATTTATGAGTAAAGCATTGAATACACTTACAACGTTGGAACACAGCAATAAATGAAAAAATTGGATAATTATGACCGATTCATATACGAATCTTTGGTTAGCGTCAAATGGCAGATCCATCTCTAAAATGAGCAATCGTGTGGAAACATTGGAAGCATTGCCATCATCCACATATTTCACAAGGATATGGGTGCTAAAGAGAATTACAGCTATCGAATAAAGAATCACCATCATGTTAACGAAGCGCTCTGACAGCTTGGCATTATACGATGTCACAAACATACTAAATTTTGTGCTGGAACTCTTTTTCCAGTCAATCGCCATCAACGTTAATATCTTACTGAATGTTCTACAAATAGTTTTATTAGTTATAATCATGATAATAGCCGCAATGAAGCATTATGGAAATCATCGATGAAAAATTTATTGCTATACAATAATTTTCGAAATATGTGTGTCCATTTATCTTTTATTTTTGCATATAATAATTTGTTTAATATAGCAATTGTTTTTAATTCTGTTAACGTTTGCAATTGCCAAATAAATCACTTTACCATCTAAAGTGATTGTACCATGTAAAGTGTTGAAATAAGACGTAATGCTAAATTTATTTAATTAATTTAATTTGGATAACTTAAATAATGTTTAAAACAAATTTTTCACTGATAGTACTTATACTATATATCTCACTATTGTGTATCTCACCGCTGTTTATACCAAAAAAGGATAAGTACAATAAAAAATCTCGTCATCGTTATTGCTAAAGTTAAAATTATTATCAGCTCGAAAAGCTCCATCAAATGAAAATGTTTTACAATGTATCGATATTGACCAATTTGCTCAAATATGATCGTAATAATCCAGAACAGTCTACGTAACAAAACGAACGACGTGTTCGGCCAAATGCCAAAGATACGAAGTAAAATTTCTGTAGTTGAGCTAACAGTATTTTTTACTTCCATATTTATATTTATATTACTTTCTTATTATTTTGCACTGTTAATATGCATCGAATCCGGTAAGAGAATAAAAAAGAAACAGAGGTGTTCCAAAAAACACTTGAGCGATCATATGATGTGCACGATGTAATGTCTTTGTACAAACTGAGAGCTTGAAAAAGAACGTGAGTAGAGGGCACCCTCCCACGAGTCATGGCTTATTAAATATTTTGATCACAATGTGTACAGATTGCGTGCATATTGTCGATAAAAAAAAATAAATTTCCGGATGGTCGAAGTTCTCCCTCTCAAATTCTTGGACGAAACGGTGGTGTAGCTCGTAATGCATTATTTTCTTTAAAAATTCAAGCAATAACAGATAGTAACACACGCGACATTCACAGAACGTTAAACCATGCTCGGTGACCGTAAGAAAAGTTTTGTATATCCGTGAATAAGGGAGACTTTTTCGAGGAAGAGGGTGGAAGAAACGAATATTTTTTTTTCCAAGATTTTATTTCCTCAATATTGAAGGATATTCTTCCTCCGCACTATAAGTGCGGCTAGTGTGCACGCGTTAGTGATTCATTTTCTTGAAATATGTAAATCGCATTATTTTGGACGAAATTCTAATACATGTCATATTTAGGTTGCGCAATGATTGTGAAGAAGTAAGTCAGAAGCAGGAAACGGAAAACGAAGTGTTGAGTGAAATTTTATATTCCAGTAGCAATGACGTTTACTCGTAAACAACAAACCTAATATTTATAAGCTATATCATAAACTATATTATAAGTTAGCCTGGATCTGTAATAGATTAAGACTTTAGCTATAAGAAATGGATGAATCACAATTGATTATTTTTTTCGTATTTGGCTGTAATTGGTTAATTTCTTATGGTTCAAGTCTTAAATCATCTATTGTAGATTCGGATTAAAGGACATCGTAAAATGCAAAGAGCTTATATTAATCTTCGATAAAAGATTGTAATAATAAATATTACAATGACATTTCAATAAAAATGTAAAGTAAGAAAAATTAATCAATTTAATTATATGAGAAATATAAATGGTATATTATTATTTATAATACCATAACAGCAATAATTTCTTTAATACTGTTACTGAGTTTTTTTATTATATGTTTTATAATTTTATACTGTGGTTAGAATGTATATATTATGATACTAGAGGAAAGTGGGAGAATTGCAAACACGTGGTAAACACAAATAATACTATTGCAGTATATTCGAGTTGTGATAACTTCTCATTTTTCCAATGACAGTTCGATATACGCCTAGTGCTGTACTATAATTTGTGAACATAGAATATATACGCTTTTCGAAATAAATACCACTAGAGTAAACGTCCCAATGATCGGACGTGTACCTATTGTCCGGATACTTACATATAATTTATTATTATTAATCTCAAAAAATGTTTTTATTACAATATTATAATTTAGTTATATTTAAAAATTACAATTAAATTATAATATTCTATTTAAAAAAGTATTTGAAATTAATAATAATAAATTTTGTTTAAGTGTTCGGACATAGATACATGTCCGGTCACTAGGACGTTTACCTTATACATTTTCAATGACTTTGCTGTAGAGAAGAATGAAGAAAATTGCAGATGTTTAAGGACAATTTAAATAAAGTCAATAATTATTTATTACTTGCATGTGGAAATTTTTTGTTAAAGAATATTGTCCTTTTTTTGCCGTGTAATAATCAATTTTTATATATTATTATTATAAAATAATTTTAAATTAAAGAAATAAAAACTCGGTACCTTTTATGGCGACGGGAAATTTCATATGACTAGAGTTTTGTTTTTTTTTTTAAATTGTCGTGGCTGTCGAAGGAAAATTTATTCCAGCCTCAGGATAAACGCCCGAACAAAGTTGATATATTAAAATTATCACTTTTGGATACTTTTACGCCAGGACTATAGATTGTTGTTGTGGCCGTCGTACGAAGACTGATAATTACAGCAATCGAAACATTGTGATCGATTAGCCATATTCGTTGTCGTGTGTGAATGCTGAACGGATCTTTTGAATTTTCTTTTATTCAATCCATGACTATTATAAGATATCGCGAAACTTTTTATATAAAAAAAATAAATTCTGAATAACTTTATAAAATAAATTCAAGCCATTTATAGTTTATTATTTGATACTGTATTGCACAAAAAAAGCGGTATAGAGAATAATTAGGTTAACTTTGATGATTCCAAAAGAGAATCAGTTTGAATAGCAACAGGCTGTATGCTAAAGAGTTGCTCAAATTATTCATCAAATCCATTAGCTTGTTGCATTGGTGCGGTGAAGAAATATGAAATAAACGTACCGACATATCATAAAGACAATTAATTTAGCGAACCAGAACAATTTATGCAAAATGGTTTACAACATGTCGATTCAGATGTTATATTAAGATTCAAAGTACAAATTTTATAGAGAAACATGCTGTACTCGTAGCAATCATTTAAAATTGTGAGAAAAAGAATTTACTATCAATGATTTTATAATATAAGACATCGAATATCGGATTTGCCGTGTTTCCTTAATTTTACGAAAAATATTGTGATATATAATTTACTAAGAACGCAAAAGTATATTCACAATTGACGAGAACAATTAATCATTAAATGTTCTCTTGAAAGCAGGCATAAAATAACACACTTAATACATACTCTAAAATATACAGATGTGGATTTAATTTCATAGATATTAAATATAATTCTCAACATACGATAAGATCTACATAAACACTACGGTTACGAATTTACACCTATAATTTTTGAATATACAACTACAGATCTACAATTATGAAACTTTAAAAGTTACCAAAAATTTATCAAATTTATATCCTAGTTTTATCTCTTTCTTTTTTCTTTCTTTCTTGACAAGGTAACACGATAGCAACGAATTATGAGGCTTAAAAATGCAAGACGCCACGTGAGCAGCAAATGCATAATGTACGAATGGAAGACTCGAGGAAAAATGAAAGAAAAATTGTCAGAACTTGCAAAGTCGCGCTAACATTGCCAAGTGAGAGGAGAGAAAGCAGCATGGGGTTGCATTGTTCGATTAATAAATATCTCGAATTATTGATCTACTGGCAATTTTGAGTTTATTCTTACTACCAAAACGCACACACGCAAGTGTGTAACACATATGGAAAAAAATGGTAAATAATACTGTAATGATTTTCGACATTTTAAAATTATGTGCAAATTTTTTTAAGACTAACAATATCAAACTACCAGTTGTTAACACTCATTAAAAATATAATGTAAACAGAATGCAGTTTCGCTTCAATACATTGCAAGTAGAACTGATATATAGGAGGCTGAAGCTTTTACAATCTGTAAAAGTATTATTTGATTATTATAATGGTATATGTGTCTATACAACAAAAATTAATTCAAATAATAGGTTATTTATAATTTAAGAAGAGAAAATTTTTTGCTTTTTATTTATTCTAGATAATTATTAATAGAATAATCTCTTCTCAATGTAAAATATGCGTTTAAAAGTTTTACGTGTAATATGATCTATTTTTCTGAAATAAACTTACAGTGGTAAATTGTCCCAAAGACAAATTCATTATCTTTCCAATTGTAATGGTTAATTGATTTTGCGACCTCATTATCAAGGACAATATAATTCGACTATCTCTTGAATCTAAATTGTACCAGAAGGAAGCGTAAGCAGCATCTCCGATGCTTTTACTCTATTAAATAATGGATCTTGTAATTTTGAAAACGAATTACGTAATATTCTGTTTATTTATCGCAAACCATATATTTGTCTCAATAACTAACCTTAACACTTAAATATTCTCCAGCAAAACAAAAGATAAACGCCTCCATATTTATAACGACATAAAATAAGAAGTTTCTGATTATACTTTCTGAAGCATCAGGTCGACCGATCGACTGGAATATTAAGAAATGCCCTAAGAGGAATGGAAAAGTGATAAGGTAATAAATACTTAAAGCACGAATTAGTGCTCTTTTATTCTGCAAAATTTTATAATGTACATATATTCCTCTTTACCATAGAATTACACAAAAATATAATACTTACCGC